ATGTTTCTCTACAAAATTGCTGATCTGGTTTTCACAAGAGCCAAAATTGTGTTGATTCATTTCCCAGGGGATATATTGAACTTTGTGTTTTACGTATGTAATGCTTGCTAAGAATTTTCAGCTCAATGGAGTTGAAACTCTTCTGAAAAGATAAGCCTGATATGATTGTGCCTTTACTGTGTCCAATTTATGAAATGAAGCCACTCTTGTGTGACCAGAGAGAAAGTGCTGCCCCTCGCTATCGTCAGACATACTCTGGGCCCGTGTTGACGTGCTCTTGCTTCAAACCTCAGAGTCTTTGCAAGTGTCTGGTTTGTAAACCCTGTGTGTTAGGAGGTTTTCTGTTACTGAGTTAATCAGCTGATAGAAAGAAATGTCTATCTGGACCACCTGTCCAGGGCTGACATCACCCACAGTGGGATGACCTCTCCCACATCAGTCATTAATCAAAAAGTTGCCCCCACAGACACACCTCAGGCCAGTCTGACAGAGGCAATTTCTCAACTGTGTTCCCTCTCCCTAAGTGACTGTAGTTTGTTGATAAAAACTTGATAAAATAAAAAACTAACCAGTGCAGATAAAGACAAAAGTAGTTGAAGAGTCCAGAGATGAAAACAAAACATTTGTCCTAAGAATTAAATGACAGAAAAGGAACCATTTACCTCCCGATGTCTCTGCTTCCTTATCTGTTAAAACAAGATAACAATAGACCCTCCACTGAAGGCAGTGATGTGAGAATTAAACCGAAAGGTCATTGGTTGGCACTAGTAACTACCTCACAAGTGGGTCTAGTGGTGGTCAGCAATGTTCTCAAGCATTTTTGACTTTTGTGACCAGCAGCATGAGCTCCCTCTCTCTTCCACCTCCTCCTCCACCCTCTTCCTCCCACCATCCGTCAGAGAATGCCTTGAAACTCCACCCCTTCACTGGCTTCTACCCAATTTAAAAACAAAAGAAAACTTTACGCAAACAAATGAACAAAAAACACAAGCATATTAATAAATGATAGAACAATTATCTTCTTACCAGGTATTCACAAATGTTTCAGGTCTACGCCTCTGGAGACTAACAAGCCGGTAGTGAGGATTATATTAGCACACAGACAACCATAGCCTCACTCATTTCCATTTTGCTTTCTTTTCTTCATCTCCCTGTCTGGAGCAAAATGGGTTTTCTTGTCTTATACATAAATATATTTAGGCTCTGTTTGGTTGGTCAAGCATGTCAGAGAGTCTTGTTCATTGCCCCAGAGAGATGTTCTGCCTATGCTGGCTTTCCTCACAACATCTCCTAAGGCTTGGTGGCTTGCAGCAGGGAAGGTTGGGTTCCCACATGTGCAAATGCTCTGGTGGCTTTGAGTGACTTTTGAGGGCAGCCACCCTTCAGATGACCGCTCAGTGTAGTTCTCCTTATTATGTGTCCTGATCATCTCAATAGCTGAGAGACACGGGAAATCAGCAGCAGCCACTAGTACTTCCAACAGAAGTGACCAGTCACTTTCTCTCATAATTCACTGGCTAATGCCATGGCTGAAGAATAAATGTTCCTGCCCTGAAGGCACGTGTTTGGAAGGCTTGTCTCTTGGTATTTAGAGGTGGGGTTTGGAGAGGTGATTGGATCATGAGGATACTGACCTCATTAGTGGACTAATCCATTGCTGGAGTTATAAGCTGGTGACATCATCGGGAGGTGGGACATAGCTGGAGGAAGTCATCAGTGAGGTACGCCCTTGAAGGGTATGCCTTGCCCTGGTTCCTTTTGTCTCTTCATCCTGGTCTCTATGATATTCAACTTAGTCTCAGGCCCAAAGAAATGGCGCCAAGCAGAACCTAAACTAAAGCCTGCTGTGGGACAATGGTTTTACCCTGTAAAGATCTGTTTCTTGTACTTGTTTAATAAAATGTTGACAGTCAGGAGGTATAGGTGGAGTAACCAGGCAGGAAGTAGAGATGGGGCAATGAGAACAGGAGGATTCTGGGAAGAGGAAAGATTTAGTCTGCAGCCGTCATCCAGACACAGAGGAATTAAGATGAGACTGCCTTGCTGTAAAAGGTACCAAGCCACGTGGCTAACATAGATAAGAATTGTGGGTTAATATAAGTTATAGGAGTTAATAAGAAGCCTGAGCTAATTAGGCCAATCAGTTTATGATTAATGTAGACCTCTGTGTGTTTCTTTGGGGCTGAGCGGCTGTGGGATAGGATGGGACAGAAACCTCAGTCAACAAAAGCCTGAGACCCATGAGCCTAAATCCTCCTCTTAATTGTCTCTCTCGGGTATTTTGTCGCATGTTGAGGGACAAAAAAACAGCAAAGGATATGATGTGGTGTTAGGGTTGGGGGTCTAGAATGTCACCCTATGTCCCATGTGTTAAAATCTTGGTGCTGTTTGGAAGTGCTAAAACTTTTAAGAGATGGTGTTGAATGGTGGTAGGTCATCTGATCACTGGGGCACATAACCCTTGAGTGGAATGGTGGGGCCCAGTTCCTTTCTCTTCTTGTTTTTCACAAGAGAATGGTATTGGCCCACCATGTGCTTCAGAAATGTTCTGTGACCAAAAGCTGATCCATAATGGATGGAGACTTCTAAATCTGTAAAATGTGGATCTTGTACCTGTGTCTTAGCAAGAGAGACTGGGGAAATACAGAGCTGGTATTAACAAACCTCCTCTTTGTAGGAAAATGGCCCCTGTACCCAGCCAACAGGACATGTAGGAGATGCCTCAGACAAAAATTCAGGCTGTCATTTTTGCCTTTGTGGTCTTGTCTGGACCAGGTACTTCTCACACAAATGGTGAAGCAGCAATAAGTTTTATTTAAAGAGGTAGGCATACAGTATAGGGCAGCAGTAGGATACCTGGTTGTTGTTGGGTGCTCTCTTTTATGCGGTCTAGGAAGAATTGGTTGCTGGTGGGAATAGCATAGGTAGTTCTCTGACTTGACAGGTTTGTGTTTTATAAGCCTTTCTCTGCACAGGTGTCCTTTCCTGTTGTGAAAGAAAACTCCTGAAGAGAAGCTGTGTCTTATTAGAATTTTAGCACTGTGGAGAAGTTGGGATGTTGCAGGTCCAGGGTCTAGTTACCTTAGCCCTGGCTAGTTTCTGCCCTCCAGAACAGCTATTCCTTGCCTTTCTCTATGTTGGAACTAACATCTTGTGACTTAATCGATAAAAACTTTTTTGGAATCTATTAATTTATGAGACCATTGGCTTCCATCAACCCAAAAGCTAAGAATGTCATCAGATAGCATCTCCAGCCCATACAAAAATCTTCCACCATCTTACTGAGCCACATCTCTGATGTACCCATCTATAGTGGGAGGCCGCTTGTTCTTTTCCCGACAGCCCTGACTTGAAATAATCACTCAGAAACTATATTACTGTTTGGCCAGTAGCTTAAGTGTATTTGCTAGCTAGCTCTTACTTCTAGAATTAACCTATTTCCATTATCTTATATTTTACCACAAGGTACATGGCCTACCAGCAAGGTTCCACCTGGCTGCTAGCATCTTTCCCCTCTGGTGGCTACATGGTGTCTCACTGACTCTGCCTATTCTCTCTCTCTCTCTCTCTCTCTCTCTCTCTCTCTATATATATATATATATATATATATATATATATATATATATATATATAGTTTCTTTATTAATTAACCAATAAAAGTAACACATACACAGAAGGACCTCCCACATCACCCATCAATGTATTTTAAACTCACTTTGATTTATGATTTTCTTTCTCTAAAATTATAAAACTTCACGAAACTACTTCCACATTGGAACATGGAACTTGGGGTAACCTAAATCTGTATTCCCAGGCCATGGTCACTCAAATGGCTCTAGAATAAACTCTCTTGTTCCCTTTAAGATGGGAGCTGTGGTTTTTTGCACTGATATGATGGTGCATCTTATTTTATCATACGCATGCCAATCATGTTTCCGCTAAAAGTTCAGAAGACACAGTTTGCCTTACTATGTACACACCCTAAACTGGTTTGGGATTTGGCCTTTGCCTCTGGTTCCCTGATCCTTTCCAGGACATTTTAAAATGGAAACTAACCACAAAGGGGAGTTAACAAAAGAATACCCACCTTCCTAAGCCTGGATGGAGGGGGAGGACCTTGGACTTCCCACAGGGCAGGGTACCCTGCCCTCTCTTAGAACTGGAGGGGAAGGAGGAAAGGGGAGGGGGAGCGGGAGGGAAATGGGAGTAGGGAAGGAAGTAGAAATTTTAAATGGTTTTATTTATAAAGCAATAAAAAAATTAAAAAAGAAAAAACAAAGGGATGCTAAAGAGGAATAACACCTCATTGTTTAAAGTGGGGTGCATGTGCAATTTGACCCAGGAGAGGGATCCCAGGTTGCTGGGTGCATTGTTAGGAAGTGGGGGTCTGGCCCAAAGAAGCAAAGTCCCAGCTTGCTAGGCTTCCCTACTCTTATCTGCCCAGACTTTCTAGCTGCCCCAGAAACAGTGAACAGGTAAGTAGAGTAGTTGCCCCCCAACACTGACTAGATGTGTCAGTCATAACTCTGGGGGAAAAGAACCCTTACCTCAGATAAGAAGGTCCTCTTAGAGTCCACGCTGGCAAGAATATGGAGCAACAGGAACATTCCTCCATTGCTCGTGCAAGTGCAAGCTTGTACAACCACTTTGGAAATCTATATGGCAATTTCCCAGAAAACTGGAAATTTATCTCTCCCTCAAGCCCTAGCTATATCTAGCTATATCCTGGGCATATACCCAAAGGATACTCCATCCTATCACATGGACACATGCTCTACTATGTTCACAGCATCTTTATTTATGAAAACCAGAAACTGGAAACAACTTAGATATCTCTCAACAGAGGAATGGATAAAGAAAATACAGTACATTTACATGACTGTTACTCAGCTGTTAAAAACTATGACATCATAAAACTTGCAGACAAGTAGATGGAACTAGAAAAAAATCACCCTGAGTGAAGTAACCCAGACCTAGAAAGACAAACATGTTTTCCCTACCTGCAGAGTGTTCTGGGCCTAGAACCTAACAAAATCTTCATCAGAGAGACCAGAAAGACTTCATCCTGCAGCTTATGGGAGCAGGTGCAGAGTCCACAGCTGTTAAACATTAGGCAGAGCTCAGTGAGTTCTGGGGAGAAGGGGGTGGAGGGGGAGGAATTTGAGGAACCAGAGAGGTCAGGGGCAGACACCAGGAAAACACAGCTCACAGACTCAATTGACCAGGACTCATGCAGACTTGCAGAGATCAGGGACCCTATAGGAGTCTGACCAAGTCTTCTATATATATGTTATGACTAAGGTGCTTGTTGTTCTTGTGGGTTCCTAACAATGCAAGCAGTTGCTGTTGCTGACTCTTTTGTCTGCTTGTGTGACCCTCCTTCTCCTACTGGGTTATCTCTTCCAGCCTGGTCTTATTGCAACATGTTACACTACATTTGGGTGATGTCCCTGGGAGGCCTGCTCTTTTCTGAGGGAAGACAGGGGTAGGGAAAAAGTGGCTCTAGAGGAAGTGGGAGATTGGGGGAGAGACTGGGGAGGAGGAGGGGAAATTTCAGTCAGGATGTAGTATATGAGAAAAGAATAAAATTATAAAGGGAAGGTTTCTTTAGATACCCTTTCAGCATCACCAGGAAATATTTCTCTTTTGCAAGGTTGCCTGTTATCACCAACTTAGTCACTGCATTTTGCACACTCCTAATGAATGCTTAGGAACCCTAGCTGGGTTCCTGAGTTTTATAAATTAGTAGTATCTGCATTGATGTTTCCAAAATCAGGTGCTGACCTCTGTACCAGCTGATTTTCTGTATCAATTTGACTAGGTCATGTAGAGTTGCCCAAATATGTGATCGAATACTATTGTAGTTACTAGTCACGTTTAGACTACTGTAGCAAGTATCTGCGTGTTGTAGGGTTTTTATTTGTCTGCTTGCTTGCTCCTTTTGTTGTTTTGTTTTTGAGATGGTGTTTTTCTGTAGTTCTAAAACTCATTTTGTAGTGGTGTGGGAGGTCCTTCTGTCTATGTGTTGCTTTAATTGCCTAATGAGTAAAGAACCTGCCTTGGCCTGTTGATAGGGCAGAACTTAGGCAGGGAAGACAAAACTAAATGCTAGGAAAAAGAAGGGTGGAGTCAGGGGAATTCAGAGATAGATGTACTGAAACTTTGCTGGTAAGTCACCACCTCATGATGATACACAGATTAATGGAGATGGGTTAAATTAATATATAAGAGTTAGTCAATAAGAAGATAGATCTAGGGGGCTGGAGAGATGGCTCATAGGTTAAGAGCACTGCTTGCTCTTCCAAAGGTCCTGAGTTCAATTACCAGCAACTACATGGTGACTTACAACCATTTGGAATGAGATCTGGTTCCCTCTTCTGGCCCATAGACAGGAAAACCACTGTATAGTTAATAAATAAATAAATCTTTAAGAAGAAGAAGAAGAAAAAGAAGAAGAAGAAGAAGAAGAAGAAGAAGAAGAGGAGGAGGAGGAGGAGGAGGAAGAGGAAGAGGAGGAGGAGAAGAAGAAGAAGAAGAAGAAGAAGAAGAAGAAGAAGAAGAAGAAGAAAGACCTAATGGACAAAGCAGTGATTTAATGAATAGTTTTTGTGTAATTATTTTAATTATTTTGGGTCTAAGCTGGCTGGGCAACCGGGAACCAAACATACGACCTCCTTTCTACACTGTAGAACATGGCCGCCAACTCACAGAGTTCTTCCTGTCTCTTCCTCCCAGAGTGCTGGGATTAAAAGTATGCACCACCACAGCTCAGCTCTGAGTGTTGTTTACAACAAAATCTCAATTGTAAAAATTTATCAATAAAAACTTGGGAGCCAGATTCTGGGATGAAACCCTACTAGCTCAGAGAGGTAGAGAAAGCACTCAGCTGACCTTGTTCCTCTGCAAAGTCCCAGAAAGAGAGCTTGCTCCTACACTCATACAAAAGTCTTCAAAATAAATGCCCCTTCCATCTGCGTCCTGCCTGTCTCTCTATCCATTCCTGACTCTCTCTTACTCTCCATGGTCTTTTCCAACCTGCTGGTTACTTGCTTGCTCCCCCTCTTAACCTATAGTTGACTTTATTTAATTCTGTTTTCAATATTCAAGCAGCAAGCTCTTGAATCGAAGATGTGTGCTAGGACTGAGTCACACCACAACTAGAAACAGGTTTTTCCAGTAAATAATGTAATCTTGTGGTTCATAGTGTGATCAAATATCCTTCAAAATCTGGGGAAATCTACTTAAAAAGACCAACTGTGTAGCATAATTTGCAGTCTGTAGAACCAGTGCTAGTGCTGGGAGGAGGAATAATAGAGGGCCAGGGGGAATCCCTTGCCTTTGCTGTCTAGATGAACTAATGAGTTCCAGGCTCAGTGAGAGACCTACCCTGCCTCAAGAAATAAGGAAGAGAACAATTGAGAGATGCCTAAAGTCAACCTCTAGCCTTCAGTCATACATACATACACATACACACTCATGCACACAAAGAGGAAGGGTTAGGATTTCATCAGCCCTTCAAGTGCATCCCACTGGTGACACAAAGACCTCTCATTAGGCCCCCAATTCTTAAATTAGACTCTCAAAAGCATGACTCTGGGGCCCCATGTCTTTTCCCTGGAGGCACAATATTGAAACCACAGCTCTGTTTCTGCAAAGGTATTTTTGGATGGCAGAAACATAATAATAGGTGTGATAAGAGAGTTGCCTGCCATGGTGTGGCTGTAATCATCCTTTGAAGATGAAGGATACTTAAAAGAAATCCCACACTGGCTCAGAATTGAGAAAAATAGAGTTATTTATTTAGGGGTAGACTCACAAATCAGCATCATCTGCTGGAATGGAGAACAGAAACCAAATTCCGCAGCTGGAAAAGAGGCCGGATGCATGCTCTACATTGGCATAAATAGAATAAGAGGCCACAACCCAGTGGGCGGGTAACCACTCACTGTAAGACTTTTTACAACACCTCCCCTTTTTGTTTAAATAAGAAAGTCCTAAGCCTAAGACAAAAGTATATACAATAAGAAAAATATATTCAATAATTATCCTATCCTAACTAGTTTAAGTTTTGTATAATAAATAACTTGACCAAGTCATGAGAGGAAAGGAACTGCAACTATCTAGTCTTCAACCCCATATAAGACCTGAGAAGGGAAATAATATTACTTGAGTAAGCAGGAGGTGCAATCAAGCAACTTCAAAAATGTACAACAAATGACAAAGACAACTGGCTACCTGGGCAATCATCCAAAGTCTCATTTGCAATGTTGAAGCAATCAACTTTGGCTAAGGCCTAGAATAACTGACAGACCATTTTCAGAGGTAGGAAATTTTTCAAAACCATCTTACCCTGTCTTGGCAAAATTTAACAGTCCTGCTTATCCATTTCTGGATACCATGTACCTTGTCAGTGGTTGAGGCATGGGCAGTTCTTTACCCAAAGGCCAGTTTTGCCAAGAAGAAAACAAGCTCCAAGTGAAGTGTCTTCAGTGCTCAACATTCTCTCAGGAATAGACCAGTGCTGCCAAGAGCAATTGTGACTCATTTCAACAGAACCCTAAGTTTTTTAAATGCCATATTCTATACCTTTTTGAAGTGGTTGAAGATTACCTATCTATGCAGAATATAATCTCTATGTACCTAAAGAACCTGATTAGTCTAACGATAAGTTTGACAAACATAGATGATTATTGATCTATAATTCTTAATACCTATATAACTTTAAGGCTAAGACTTCATATTAGAATATTATACAATAAACAACTGCGTAACTGAGAAAATTACCTCAAAATATAAACAATGTATAAGTATCTTGGTTAGAGGTAGAAATATACAATGCAATATTATAAATATATATCTGTTGTAGGAGGGGAGTCCCTTTGTTTCGTTCTGGTGCCAAGCTAGCTTACGCTCAAAATAATCACACAGAAATTGTATTAATTAAATTACTGCCTGGCCCATTATATCTAGCCTCTTCTTGGCCAACTCTCACATCTGATCTTACCCATTTTCATCAATCTGTGTATCACCACGAGGTCGTGGCTTACCAGGAAAGATTCTAACCAGCGTCAATGTTGGGCAGGAGCTTCATGGCCTCTGCCATTCTGCCCTTCTTCCCAGCATTCAGTTCTGTCTACTCTGCCTATCTAAGTGCTAGCCTATCAAAAGGCCAAGGCAGTTTCTTTATTCAACCAATGAAAGCAACACATACACAGAAGAACCTCCTACATCATTTTCCCTTTTTCTGTTTAAACAAAAAGAAAGGCTTTAACTTTAACATAGTAAAATTACATAAAACAAATCAGTTATCAAGCAAGAATTATAGTTACAATATTTATATCTATTTTATCTTTTATCATAACAAAGGAAAACTATAACTATATCGATCTATTCTTCAACTCTATCAAAGACTCCAGAAGGATATAATATTACCTAAGTAAAAAGGAAGTACATTGTAAGCAACTTCCAAAACTCTAGAAATGACAGAGACATCTTGTTGCCTGAACAGTCACCCAAAGATTTCTGTACCATCAGGGCATCCATCTTCAGCCTACAGGACCATAGTATCCAGCAGACAGTTCCATGAAGCTGGAAAATTTAAAGACAGTTCAGTCACTTTTTTCTGTGTCCTGCAGAATGTCTCGCAGACTCTTTCATGAAACAGGAACCCCAAAGGAGCATCTCAACTTTAGGCAAGGTCAGCATTCCTCTCTCTGCAGGTTCTTCATGTCCAGGCTATGAAACAATCCAGGCAAGAGCAGTTTCTTACACAAATGGTTAACCAACTCCATAAGGAGCCCCTTCTATGCCCATCTTCCTCAGGAAGTAGCTTGGTGCTGCCAGAAGCAAATATGTCTCGTTGTCATGAAAAACCCTCAGTTATTAAAAATATCTTAAATGCCATATTCTGTAGTCTTTTAAAGATATGAAGAATGTCTATCTAAAATGTATCTATGCACATCTAGAAAATCTAACTAACATGACTACAAATTTGACTATTATAGATGATTATCCATTAACAACCTATACTTCCTAATTATATACTACATTTTTAAATGAACTACACAATCACAATACCTTAATCAA